CGAAAACAAATGATATAATTATAATAATCAATATACGATTTTTTTTCTCAAATAAAGATAACTGCTTTGTTTGTAGGTAAACGTATGTAAAGGTCAGGAGCAATCAATATGTTTTATATTGAAACTTTATCACATTAAACGGACAACCAAATTTTTTTTTCTCTAAATTCGTTCCACGATTAAGTTCCATATAAGTCTCACCTGGAGCAGTTCTGACAATCCACAGTCCCCTTAAAAGTTGTCTCATTGTTCCCAAAGAAATACTGTCTCTGCTCTTTGATGCAACTCTCTTTAGATGGTTTTTCAGACAGGTCCTCATCTAGGTCCGCTGTGAACAAAACACAATTGCTATTCAATTGCCATGAGCTACAATACTTTAAGTGCTTATTTGAATTACTGTTGATTCAGTGGCTAAATAACACCCACTGAACGGTCAATCAGTCAATAAAAAAATTCAATCAAAATTTCCCAAAGTACACAGAATACAGTCAAAATTAACACCATGCCCCTATCACATTTATAGTCTTTGACATTCTGAAATAGAATATGTGGTCACACTCTGTGGTCGCACATTAATTCAACATTAGCATTCATTAGCACTGTAGTTTTGGCAGTACACCAGACGACAATGAAAACAGGCATCTTGCCAAATTGCAGTGGCTTGATCATCGTTTCAGAGCAATACATTACTAATGTCGGGATCTTACCTGCCTCAAGGAAATTAGGAAATGTGATGCTGACAAACAACTGCTGCAATATCGACCTGGAGAAATCAGAAGAAATATTGATTTTGATAAGAACAATGTTTTTGTCCGTATAATGAAAGTCTTTGGGTTCCAAAACAATCCTATTCACTTGTAAAACACAACAAAACATAAAATGAGGCACTTTAAAAAAATATATATCCCCTCTTGTTTTCCCACAAAAGAAAGGTTTGGAACATGAGGGTTAGTGTGATTTTTGTGTGAACTGGGAAAGTTACAAAAGGCATCATTTCAATTCACTCACCAGGCTGCTGCAGAAGCCCACCAACCAATGTTCAGGATGTCAGCTATGGTGGGCTAAAAGGGACAAACAACATGTTTTAAACCTACACAGGGCACTAGGGCCACCTAAAATGTCCTTGTGATGTACCATCCCCATTAAACAGCATAAACTCTAAGATGCTGGCACCTTAAACTCTTATTCTCTCAGACATTCTTCTCTAACTTTGCAAGTTGCATATCCG